CCCCAAAAAAAACCCAAAAATTAAAAAAAAAAATATTCAACCCAAAAAGACCCCCCAAATGAATGACTGGAACAAACTCCTCTCTATCTCTCTACTGCCCCCTTCCTCTCATCTTTTCCCCAACATAAAAAAAAAATTTCCCCTAAAAATATCCATAATCTTATCAGTCTTATTCGACTCCCCTTTACAAGACAAGCAATTCACTTGGCTGTGCAAAGTTCCCCCAAATATCTCCCTCATCACAATACTCCTAGGGCCCACAACAATGACAGCAGCATGCCCATTGTTGCTGCTATTGCTCTTCTTAACGAGCTTGAGAAAAGTATTGTGGCAAGCATTAATGACATAACGAAGGATCTCGTGCGCGTCCTCCTGCCGGCCCCACCGGAAGTGCTCGACGAACAGGGTGATGCACTTATGGATCTTGGGCGGTGAATCCATAACCAGAGACCCTTGTGCTTGCTGGACACCCACCACGTAATCGCATTGGGATCCACGTGGCCACGGCTCCACCGCCCGTCACGTCAGCGCCTCGACGAAAGGCGATCTCCGGTCCTGTGCTTGCTGGACTCGCTGTGGTCGAAGCGAGTGCTTCTTCCTCTTCATCAGTTAGGTGGTGGGCGATGCTGGCGGTGGTAGGAGAAGCGATGGCAGTGGTTGTGAATACCCCTGGAGCATGGATTTTGAGATGATACCAGAGGAGGAAGAAGAATTTGAGTTTTGGGGAGATGACAATGACTTTTGTGGAGGGGTAAAGCTGGGATTTTATGTAAAATGCATAGAAACTTGGGCTAAATGTGAGCTGGAGGGGGCTGGGCATAATTTTTACAAAGTTTAGGGGCTGCAGCACATAGTAGAAAGTATGAGGGGCTGGGGCACACTGTTGTTTAAATTTTGGGGCATGGAAGCAATTTTTCCTACATTTAAAACACACACAAAAAAAAAAGATAAAAGGTTAATCGCAACCCTTACAATATCACCCGGTCGCTGATATATCTCATATTTCGGGTCACTGGAAGGCAAATCCATACTAGAGCAAAATAGTAAATATTTGGGGGTTTATCTAAATTTGGAGATATTAGCGGGGTGAAATATCGTGTTTTGGAGCTCCCACGCTCAAATTACTGCCAGGTTTTATCACTCTTTTCGTGCGAGTCCTTCGAGAGACGCTTTCTCATATGCAATCATGAAAACATAAACGATTAACAATTATGCATATCTGTTGGATCTTAACGAATCTTTCTCATATGCAATCATGAAAACATAAACGATTAACAATTATGCATATCTGTTGGATCTTAACGAATCTAGGATTAATCTCATTCATCTGCTGAAAACAAATGTTTAATTCATTCCTATAGAAAAGATAATTAACATTCAAATTTTAAGATGAACAAATGGGGGAGAGAGAGAGAGAGAGAAACATCTCCAAAACTATTTTTTATTTACAAAGAAAAACAATTATAATAATAACCTATCATTTCCGGTAATCACACCCCGATCTCCTACCTCGGTTTCCTCACTTTTTCCGGGCCCGAGAAGAGACACCTTCTTCCGTCCCCGCCTCACAGTTCCATAGAAATCTCATTTCTAGCGGGGTCCACACTCCACGTCACATTAAATATGTTGTAACGGCAAAATTTATTAGTGTGATTAAAAACGTGATAAATATTTTGTGAATTTATTATAAAACGGAAACGTTTTTTTTAATTTTATAACGGCTAAGTTTTATTAACGTGATTAAAACGTATTAATTGTGTATTTATGTATAACGGTTGTTTTTCCCTATAAAAGGATCTAAAATCCGAAGAGTTTTACACAGCGAAATAAAACAAGCTCTTCTTCTCCTTCTCTGTTCTTCCTCTTACTTACTGTTACGATTTGCTGGTTCCCTAAAAGTCGAGAAGTATTCGCAAAGCCTTCTTGAAGCTCGTGCCGACGAGAAGGAGGTCGCCTGACCGAGGGTCGTTGTATCTCCGGGAACTTTTGCCGCGTAGCCCTGTACAAGAGGGGGCAATTAGTTTCTTGGGACAGTGCTTGCACGCCTCGACCATCAGGCCGTATTTCTAACCCTCATTTCTAAACTCTGTTTCTTTTCGTTTGAATTATCTGTGTTACAATATTAATTCATTAAGTGATCTGAAAATTATTAACTGAATTATACTCTAAATAGCTTATATTCCCAACAATCGGAACGAGAATCGGAGCCTTCTCTAACAGTCTCCTCGCTTTGTCAACGCATTCGCCCGTCGTCGATGGCTTCAGGCCGAAGGATTTAGGCCAGAGGTTTTCTTTGGAGATCTCGTTGACGATCCCGGCGATCGGGAGGGAGAGGAGGAGGCGGAGCTGCTGCCGCGGCGACGATCTCCAGTTCGGGAATCCGACGGAGACAGGGAGGCCCTCCATGAGGATCGATCGGAGATCGGGAGGGAAGGAGAAGTTGCAGGAGGTCTCGATGGCGGTGAGCTCGAAGTCGGAGAGGCCGGCGGTGACTGGAACGCCAATGGAACGGAGGTGATCGATTATGGACTTGGCGTAGGC